CACTGAAGCACATCGCTTTATTGGTGTTACTAGGTAAGATTCAATTTCCTGTAAATTAAATGCTGCCTGGCGTTACATCGCATCACTTTTCCCCTTTATACTTAAAGATGAACCCTGGTCCAATAGAAAGGCAGAAAGATGTTTTAAAATGAGGTGTAGAAGATATCTTTCCTAGCCAGAGGAAGAGCTTAGTAGCCTGAAAAATATTGTGTCTGTGTCCGCCCCTTCTATGACACCACAATGACTGAAAACACAAGATTACACACCGCAGAGAAAAGGAAGTCTCCTTGCATTTTGGGAGAAGACCAGCTTTGGCCCCTAACAGCCATGTTACAGTGTCATTGACTCCCTAAAGATTCTGTACTGTCCCAGACATAAAGTGAATATACACCAATCAGCCAAAACATTATGACCTCTGAGAAGTGAAGGGAATACCATTGATTATCTGGTTACAATGGCACCTAAAAGTGGGTAGGATGTATTAGACAGCAAGTGAACCTTCTGTCCATGAAGTTTGTGTTGGAAGCAGAAAAAACAGGCTAGCGTAAGAATTTGAGTGAATTTGACAAGTGCCAAATTGTGATGGCTAGATGACTGAGTAACACCAAAACCGCAGCTCTTGTGGGATGTTCCTGGTCTGCAGTGGTCAGGACCTACAAAAAGTGGTATAAGGAAGGAAAACTGGTGGACCGGCGACAGGGTCATGTACGTCCAAGGCTCATTGGTGCACTTGGGGAGCGAAAGCTGGCTGGCCGTCCAATAGAAGAGCTACTGTAGCTCAGATTGCTGAAAAAGTTCATGTTGGTTCTGATAAAAAGGTGTCTGAACACACAGTGCATCGCAATTTGTTGCGTATGGGGCTGCGTAGTCACAGACCGGTCAGGGTGCCGATGCTGACCCGTGTCCACTGCCAAAAGCACCTATAATGGGCACCTGAGCATCAGAAGTGGACCACAGAGCAATGGAAGAAGGTTTTCTTTTACATCATGTTCATGGCCGGGTGCATGTGTGGGGAAGAGATGGCACCAGGATGCATGGGAAGAAGGCAAGGCAGCGGAGGCAGTGTGATGCTTTGGGCAATGTTCTGCTGGGAAATCTTGCTGGGAAACCTTCCATTCATGTGGATGTTACTTTGACACGTACCACCTACCTAAACAATGTTGCTGACAAACTACACCCCTTCATGGAAACGGTATTCCTTGATGGCAGTAGCCTCTTTCAGCAGGGTAATGTGCCCTGCCACACTACAAAAATAGTTCAAGAATGGTTTGAGGAACACAACAATAAGTTTGAGGTGTTGACTTGGCCTCCAAATTCTCCAGATCTCAATCCAGTTGAGTATCTGTGGGATGTGCTGAAAAAACAAGTCTGATCCATGGATGCCCCACCTTTTTATTCTATAGGGTCTTGGCATTCAGAAAATATATAATGTTGGGGGGTTTTACGTCATTTTCAGGCCTAAAATGTGGAATATAACATGGGTGCAAAAATGGAAAAAGGGGCCTCAGTCATGAAGGGGTTAAAGGATCTGCAGCTTGGTGCCAGAGGTCTAGCAGAGTCCATGCCTTGACGGGTCAAAGCTGTTTTGGAAGCAAAAGGGGACCTATTTAATATTAGGCTAGTGATCATAATGTTATGACTGTTCGGTGTATATTGTTTTTTTATGTTTTATTTCAATAATCATCTTAAACAATCTTTTGATAAATTCCCCGCACTGTAGTTAAATATGAAATGTTACATGATACATTTTATGTATACCAATTGTGGCCGGTAGATGGCAAGATCCTTTTGCATCAATATGTTATTGACTTCAAAAAGATTCTCTACTGTCCCAGAGTTGAAGTGAACATAAACTGTTTTATTTTGACTTAATATAGATATTCATATAGCGCCAGTTAATTTATATAGGAGCCCTATAACAATCCTACCTGTCTTTGGAGTGTATGAGGAAGCCCACACAAGCACTGGAAGAACATGCAAACTCCATGCATGTAGTGTCTTGGCTGGGGTTCAAAATGGGGACCCACAGTGATGTAAGGCAGAAGTGCTAACCACTAAATATGTTTTTGTATTATTTGTAATGCTAAATATAACTATGAAATATAACATGAGAATATTTCAGAATGACCAAAGTCATCTGGTAGATTGTGGGCTCCAAGCTTTAGGCTTGGCAATGCACTGGTAGATGGAAGAACACTCGATGGAGGAATCTCCCCTGCTAGCCTGTTGCATTCTGACAGCCAGCACCCGCCAGCTGTCGTAATACCTGCAACAGATTGGCTGCAGTCACTGTTCGGCTGATAATATTCGGCCCAGCTCCTTCAACAAATGTTGGCTGACATAGACCCGATTACACTGGCAAGGGACACCAGGGACATACAGTGTGGCAAATAATTATTTTCCTCACTTTACCTTTCCTTCCGCTTAACACAAATGGGACCCCTCTGGCCCAATCTGTTTTGCAGAAGGTGTCACCAAGGATGCAAGGAGCAACCATAAGAACATTCAGCATGCTTTGCAAAATAAGTTTAATAGATGCACAATGTTTTACAGGTTTCTTTGTAAAATAGAGACTAGGGGAACAATTTATAAATCATCCACCCAGCCATACGTTGGCATAATGCTGTTCAGATGGCACATGTTGAACATTAACATCCTGACTCAGAGCCAGCTGTCAATCATGCAGCTGGGTGGATCTCGACAGTAATGTCGGGATCCGTCCCGGCTGTGGCGGACTCAGTATACCGCGAGCGGTAGCTGGCGATATACTGAGCTTTGGGTCACGGGAAGACGCTAGTATATGTTCTCCCATGACCCTTAGGAGAACTATGGGGAAAAACACTGACCCCATAGTTCTCCTTTAAAGTTTGTAGCAGCTGGGGTAGGGGAGATCTCCCCATTTGTCCCACAGATAGCAGGAATTGATACTTGGTTCACTCCACCCAGAATGGAAAATCATACTTTGGATGGAATTACTCTTTGACTAGTGATTTAGAATGCTGTGCCTCCCATGTATCAAGCATAGCCTCTGTAGTATCCGTCATACAGGAACGGTCTGCCAGAAACCTACATACCCACAGTGCTGGGTATGTAGGTTTCCGCAGCTTACAGTAGAGTGCTGCAGTCTCTCCTCATCACACACAATACAATTATGTGAGCACACGAATGCCGAATAGATTTGCATTTGTGAAGCTCAGACATTGCTACAAAAAAATGTAGCGACAGTTTCCCTTCTCATACTTACTGCAAATTGAAGAAATAAATCATTGGATATCTCATTATATTTCTCCTTGCATACTGCGGCAGAATTTAAATTGCCTTTTGTTGCTGCTCCACCAAACGATACTTCCTTATCATCCCAAGCGCACATGGCTGGAGAGCAGGAGAGGGTGAGAGGGAGCTTGCTCAACACTCCTCTTCCACTCTCACATGCACTCTGCCTTTGTACTCTAATAGTTTTATAACTTATAAAGAAGGGCTGTGACCTTCACAAATGCACAGAGATACCAGTTGTGTTACACTTCATCATTGTTGACTTTTAAGTGTGTTTAATTATGTGTAATTAAAGGCACAGGAGCCCCCAAAAAAACCCAGGCCTGTTACAAAGTTACAGCTACAAACAGCTTGGGCACTATGTTGCAATCTGCTTCTCTTTGCTAATTGCTAAGGATCAAGATTTATATGACAAAGTTGTGTTTAGGTGGCATTTGTGTGCCAGTTGATCACTGTCTAATGATGGTGTTCAACAGCTGGAAAGCAATTTTTTTGTGACCTGGTCACTTTTGCTGTTAATCAATGACAAATTGCTTATTTTGTTTATATGTTCATTCGGTAATCAGTAATCATACATTTGATATCTCTGTTTTTTTTCAGTTGAAGGTTTATCTGCTTTTATTAGTGTATGCCCCATCCGTTAATGGACCAGCGTCCTCTGGCATCACCTGCAGCCCATCTGTGCTGCGATCCTGCTTTGAACCTTCTCACCTCTAGTCCCTATCACCTTCAGAACTGTCATGGTCTGGATCCACTCTTTTCTGGTGCCCATTGCCTTTGGCCCCAGTTAACAACAGTCACTAAAAACAGGACAACAAAACTGTAATGTGCTTGTTCATCTCCAATGCTAACATTGGCTACTGGGCATGCTTGGGTTCGGACAGAGCTGCCACTACTTACATGTTTTACCTTTTTGGGGTTCTGAAATGATTGCAGTTGAGAAACACTAACAGGGTTATTCCCAAAAGGGTGAAGAGTTTGTAGAAGGCAGGAGAAGTGAACAATCCAGGACAATATATCTGAACTGGAAAGTGAGCTGAATTGGAGAATTTTTCCAAATCGGCTATTTTGGCCTAGATTGTTTACTTCTCCTGCCTTCTCCAAACTCCTTTTTGTGAATAGCGCTCTATGTGACTTTGTCTGAAAGTGGCTGCAGTTAATGGGTTCCAGAGAAGAGCAGACCACGACAGTAAAAACAGAGCACAGAAGGTGATGGAGGATGGAACTGGAGGTTTAGAAAACCTTTATCTAAAGATGAAAAAAAATGGGTGTACATGGTGTTTATTGTTGTGGACACTGTTGAGAGAACAAAGTGTGATGGCGGTATGGACAATGATGTGAAAAAATATGGTGGTCACTACTGACTAGTCAGTGTGTGCTATGTTCCTGATGCAAAATACTGTTAGGGGACAGATCTGAGATGTGGTGACTATGCTTTCCTGTTACATTTATTTTTAGTGGTAGAATCCTCCAACAGTAAAAGTGAAGTTCTGTTTATACCACTCAAGAGGCTCCATTCACAATGCTTAAATGCTTTAACACAAGGTTAAAGATCTTTTTTTCAAATCTTTTTGAACTCAACTGACTGTAACTTTTTAAAAAATAGATCCTTATCTTGGTTTGGGTTTTAAATGAATTTTCTTTGTTTGTTATTCTGACCATTCCTGACTCAAATCCCAATACACTCACGATAACTATAGCTCTAACATATTCCATTTCTTCTTTAGGAACGACGACTGAAGGAAAAGGCAGCCCGAAGAGCAGCAAGCAAGAAAGATGAAAAGGTAGGGATGGCTACCATTGCAGTATGGACAGTGTTGTTTAGTCACTTGGGAAATGGTTTGTGGTGTTGTAGCTTTGTAAGTAATAACAGAGTCACTGTGTGTGATGATCATATCCTGTATAGTAATATGAGGGGACACCTGTCATAGTGGGTAGAATTCTACTTGGCAGATATTGTCCATTTTTATCCTCAGAAGGCTCCTTTCTAGTTAAGACTTCAAGGCATTCTTCCCCTTACCTGGCAGACTTTGTGTCTCTCACATACAGAATGTCTGGTGTAAAATAATTGTCAGTTCTGTAAGTTACTCAAGCCACTAGTCAGGTTCAGTCCTGCCTTGGATGTTTACATTTGATTTAAGAAATCCAGCCTTCAGGATTCACTCCCAGTTACTCTGATAGGTTCCCATCTGGATTCTGTCTGCATTGGATTACCAATGCAGTAATAAGTATTTTTTTATTACGGTACTAAAGCTGATGATGGTGACAATGAAGAAGCAGTATTTCTTCTTACAGATTTGGGGATAGTGATAGTAGGGGTGCAGTATTTCTTATTATAGTAAGGTGGTGGTAGTGATATTAGGGTTACAGTATTTGTTATTACAGTATGGGGGTGATGGTGATACTAGGGGTGCAGTATTTTTAATACAGCATTATGGCTGGTGATAGTAATGCTAGATGTACAGTATCTTTATGACAGTACTGGGACTGGAGAGAGTAATCCTGGGGATGCAGTATTTCTTATTTCAGTGTTTGAACCAATGACAGTCCCAATGAGGACACAGTATTTCTTATTATAATATTGGGAGTAATGATGGTGACACTGGAAGTGCAGCATTTCCTATTACAGTACTGGGATGATGTGATATTGGGGTGCAGTATTTCATTTTATAGTACTGGGGGTGATACTAGGGGCACAGTATTTCTTATTATAATATTGGGAGTAATGATGGTGACACTGGAGGTGCAGTATTTCCTATTGCAGTACTGGGATGATAAATGTGATATTGGGGGTGCAGTATTTCTTTTTATAGTATGGAGGCTGATGATAGTGATACTAGGGACACATTATTTCTTATTACAGTATTGGAGCTAGTGATAGTGACACTGGTGACACACATTAAGTTTACTCTTATGTCAGCCATATCGACAAGTACACTGGGAATAGTCTACCTTGGTGTCTGTTGACTATGAGAAGAAAAGGATCAGCAATAGCTGTGCTAGAATTCTTGCAGTGTATAAAGCTGACTTGAATGTGATCGTGTTTTCCTCCGACTTAACAGAACACGGTTTTTACTTAAGCGGTTTCTAAATGCTATGTGCACATTTTCCAGTGGCTGATTTTAGGATTGTGATATTAGCAGCAATGCTCATTTCTATGGTCTTGTTGCTGCACATCTTTCTATTATTTCATCTAGCGATTACACAGTCCTCTCTGACAGCCCATTCTCACTGCCCAAAGTACTCTGAACAATGGGGAGGATAATTATCTATACAGTCCTGTTGAAATAGGGAATAATTAGCCTATTGTGAGAAAGAGAGAGACTTGTTCATCTAACTATTAAAGAGCACTTTGTCTTGTTACAACTATTTTGAATAGATATTTGCAATTCAGTCGCTGAGGGTTTATGTTTCATAGCGTTCAGAGATGAGAACAGGATTTGATTCCTCTTAACTACGTTACAACAGGAGTACATTTGACAGCTGAGAATATCAGCATAGCAACTAAGAATATTCAGGTCTTATTGTATTGTATTCTTAAAGCTGAACTCCAGGCAGATATGTAAGCCCCAATGTTCTATACACGTAGCTCTGTAATCACTAATACATCAATAAATGTTGTTGTTTTTTCAATGAAAGTACCTGCATTTGACTTGGTATCGGCCTCTTGCAGTCCCGGTACAGCAGAGCTCAGAGAAGAGGCAGAAGCAGCAAAAAGGAACTAATTAGGTTTGCTGCAGTGCAAGAAGCATGCTGACAGGAGGCGAGAAACAAAGCAGAGTGACAGAGAAATTAGCTCATTACTCTACTGGTTTTACTATCCAATCACAGGGTCAGGGTGGAGAGGAGACTTGTGAGTGAAAGTTGAAGTGACACTAAACTCAGTAGGTAAATCTTAAGATACTTGAATGTATTTTTAACTATTAAATGTATCTTATTTGTGTATCACTCAGCTGTAGATCCTCAAATCCTCTCTGAATTCATGCTGACACTGTCCTTCCTTCTGGAGGGTGGTTACTTTTGTTCCTCATGGTCCCTGTGTGTGTTGTAAAGTAGCCACCACTCTAAGCTCGCTCCTGTGATGGACGACAATCTCACATTTAGTTTACTCATTTGTTTTGAAGTTGTAGTCTATCACAGGAGTGAGCTTGGAGCAATAGCTACTTTACAGCACACACAAAGACTATTCATTAAAAGAGAACTATGGGGTAAGTGTTTTTCCCCATAGTTCTCTTAAGGGTCACGGGAGGACATATACTAGCGTCCTCCCGTCACCCTAAGCTCAGTATACCGTGAGCTACAGCTCGCGGTATACTGAGGCAGCCGGGACAGATCCCGGCATTACTGTCGAGATCCACCCAGCTGTGTGAGTGACAGCGGGCTATACCTATCTAGAGGCAGAGCCAGCTGTGTGTCCCCCCCGTTCCGCCAGTCAGCACTGGAGGAGCGGGGAGGGGGGGAATCCCTGCAGGGAGCTGTGACTAAAAGTCACGGCTCTCTGCAGGGAGATGATCGAGAAGTGAGCGAGCGCCGGTATGTGCTCGCTCACTTCCCGATCTATTGAGCCGACATGTGACAGTTTCATTGCCACACGGCTGTTCAAACTATGAGGATGAGTCATTTGCACTCACCTCATAGTTCTCCTTTAAAGAACTCTGGGGGAAAATGTATTAACCCTTGCAGTGGTGGTTCCCCTGCACTGAAGGGTTCGCTGCTTGTTTTTGCTTTAAAAAAAAGTTATACCTGCTGAGCCGTCTCCCTACTTCTACGGTCACTGAAGCGTGTCCTGTCTTCTGCACAGATGGAATGTTCCTCAGCGTCATCACAGCTATACACTTGTATAGAATGTGATGACACAAGGGTTCTTGGACCACTGCAGAGGAGGGGGAGAGAGGCTCTAAGGACCGGTCTAAGAACAAGCCGGGTCGAATGAACGGGTGAATATTCAATAGAAATGTTTTTGTTCCCAGAGTTCAGTTTCTGTTTAGCACCTAGACACAAATGAGCAGTTCACGCTTGCGGTGCGGGGGTAGCCCGACTGCCAGGGTTAAAAACATTTTCCCCCGGAGTTCTAAAAATTAATAGCAACGCACTAACGTTCGTTAACACTGCGTTACGAAAGTATGTTTCAGGCCTTAGTGCGGACAGGTGGACAAGTGCATGTCTGAGTATATAACTGTAAACTTGTACATAAGTTATACTAAAAAAGGACATTCGATCAAGTGGAAGCGTTTGCCAAGGTATCGTATGGAAGCGTTTGCCAAGTGGTAAATTGCACCTGTTTCAAGGATCAAGTGAACAAGAGGAGTGCAGCTAATGGTAGAAGTCTTATAACCCAGACTAACCCAGATGTTTCAGTATAGCTGTGCTGTAATGATTCCTTGCTTCCCAGTCTTCTTCATGCAGTAAATGTAGAACACCATCAGGCTCTGATAAGATGGAAAGTAGATTCAGAGACTTCCAATTATTTAGTTGGCCTAACAGTGTTGCCAGTTAAATCAACACATTTTATACATGCCGTTTGATTAAAGAAAAATATCCAAGCTATATTGGGGACAATTTTTTTCTAGCATTGAGGCTTGTTAATGCTCAGTATTGACAGCAACAAATAAAGAATATTAAGAATTAAGAAGTGTGTGTATATAAAAGCTAGTCATGGAATAAAAACTGTTGACTGTTGTATCTAGATAAACCGAGTTACTGATTGGCAAAGCAATAGTTACCAGTCCGTTGTAGGAGGATATGGCATGTAGGCTACACAAACCGGTATGAAGACATGACCCTACGAGCCTCATCACCAGAACCAGCCATGTTTCCAGAGGAGTACAAAGCTGCCGCAGCTAAAGAGGTGTCATGCTTGCTACTAGAGTGTACACATTCCTATAGATGAGGGTGAACACGTGTTATTGTTAAATCTTTTTAATATAAGCCTTATTTAAAGTGACATTAAACCCTCAGATTTTTTAACATAAAACAATGCTGTAATGTGCGCCTTACTGTAATCCATGGTTGTTTCCCTTCTCTTTGCTGCTTTTCCTTTTAAATCCCCATGTCTTCTCCTGCTTGGTGAGAACTTCCCTTTTCAGCTCAGGGCTTCTTCCTGTAGTGCTGGCTCAGGTTTCAAGCCTATAGAAACGTATACACAGACACCGTGTACCCATTCCTGAGACAAGGCAGTCTGCTGCAAAACAGAAGTTCTGCAGAGCATGAGAACAGATACAGATTTAAAAGGAAGAGCAGCAAAGAGAAGGGAAACAACCATGGAATACAGTAAGGCACACATTACAGTATTTTATGTTAAAAAATCTGAGGGTTTAATGTCACTTTAAGAGCGAATTCACATCATAGCTCAATGCAAGGAGTATGTGTATATGTGCTTTGCAGCGAGTTGCCAGTCATTTGTGTTGCACCCCAACACGCATATAAATAGTAAAATCAAAAGCACCTGCACTGCAGCACACAGATGTGAATGTTGTCCATTGCCAAAAATAGTGCAGGTGTTCTATCAAAGTTTGTGACTACGTTAGAATGTGTGACCGGTCACGTAGTCACACATTTTAACGTAATCCCGCCCCAATCCCAATGCTTTCCCAGCTGTTCCGGGGCAGATCGGCATCGCAGATGGTATGTGCAGGAGAACCGATCTGCCCTGGAGCAGCTGATCGGTCCTGAAATGTCACTTCTATCCGACTTTGTGAGTGCGACCTCGCATACCACAAAGTCAGATAGAAGTGACATTTCAGGACCGATCAGCTGCTCCAGGGCAGATCGGTTCTCCTGCACA